GGAAGAGAGAAACCTGGAATTTGAACCCAGATCCACCTGCTCCCAGGGCCTGTGGACTTTGTTGCCCTCTGAGGACTCTCTCGGTGTGTTGTTGGTAGCACTGTGGATGAGATCGGGGGCGTTCTTGTAGACGGGCCATGGACAATTAATTGTCGGTGGCACTTTAAAGGCCCTTTAATAGATTTTCCTTGATGCCCTATGCCTTAGAGATCTTCTCCAATTCTTATTTATAAACCTTTGCTTCCTGCTTTTAAAATTCTCATGGAAAGAAGTTGTGTACCCAGCCAATTCAAGAGTTTAATAATGCCCTGTTCAAATTCCTCCAGTTTGAAATGGCGTCTTTTTCCAGTTCTGGAGTCAGAGAAAATGGGGCACAGGTAATCACAGTCCTGGGGCTAAATCCTGTCATGGGCTTGAACGTGCCTGAGCCTTTGTTTTTCAGGCTTAGGAATTTCAAATTCTCTCTGCTCAGCTACTACCTTACTGCCTTTTACCTTTCAGTTACTTTTATGACTTTTTCTTCTGAAATTTCTTCCATTTCCCCCTTTAAATGATAGAGCCCAAAGTTGAATGAGTTATTCTGGGGTCTGACTGGTGTCGTATTTGCAATACCCTGTGCTCCTATTCTTGCATCCTTCAATTCCAGTGTGTCTGCACAGCAGGTCTCCTCTGCTGTCTGGGTCTGTCACTGGCTCTGTGGAACCAGGTGACATGCCTGCACAGCTGGAAAAGCATGTGCTTCCCAAACACTCTGCAGGCTCCAGATTCCTCTGGGGTCTCTGGTCAGCCCCTGGTAGTGGGGGGTAGGGAATGGGGGCAGGGCGAGATTCGGAAGGCTCTACACCTCTACTCTGCCCCGCTCCCCCTCCTACCCACAATTAAGTCAGGGCAGCTTTACTCTTAGCTGTCTAATACGTAAGAGTTGGCATGCAATTTGTTGGGGGATAACTACAGTTTTATTGTAGTTTTAGAGATATAAATATTTGACAATCACTCAGGATAGAAAAAAGCCTATAAGCTTTTGAACAAGAGGGCAAAGAGTTTGAGCCCTGTCTGCCACCGCCAGCCTCTCATTTCTGTGAGTGAGTCACTTAATCTCTCTGCCTAGAGACCTTCTAGAAAATGGGCTAAACCTCATTTTGTAGGGGTGTTATGATGAGTAGGGATACATGGGAAATGCTACGCAGAGTGTGACGCGCAAGCTACTCGATAGCAAGATACCATTTGTATTTGTTATTATTGGAAAAAAAGTCAGTGTCTTGCTGAGAATCTGTCAATGTTGTCATTTGGAAGTATGAAGGTTAGAATAAATTTATTCACTATGACTGAGTGTTTTTATTTTTGGTAGACTTCAATTTTATTCAGACCTGGAGTCATGTGAATTAATATGCTGGATTCGATGGTACAGAGTACATTTAAGTGGGAACGTCACTAATTGAGAGGAGCATTGCTAGTCCTATGACTCAGTCTCATAGGTGGAGACAATGTTCACTGGCTGTTTCTATTTTTGATTATGTTCCGTAAGAAGCGGCTAATTTTAGACTAGAGTCTTCAAGCTTTTCAAGGGCCATGACATATTCTACTTTGATCTGTATTCGTCTTTGAGTTCTCAGCACCTAGACTTGTGCCTGACACGGGGCAGGTGTTGTGCAACCCTGGGTGGGATGCAGAGCATGGCCTGGAGTGGAAGCAGCGAGAAGTTGCAGACTTGACATGGCTGCCGATTAGCAAGGGGGAGAGCTTTTGGTCCAGGGATGCAAAGCCCTATTTGGCGAAGTGAATGTGTTGCAGAGAGAATATCTACCGAAATATATATGTAACCCTGGAGGAGTAAATAAAATTTGCCCACACGAACTTAGGAAAAGAGACAAGGTGCTTTGGTTAATACAGTATTTCATTGACAACAGTGACCTTCGAAGTGAGAATGTCAGTGCTCTGCCCAGACTTGTGGGGCGGGAGGTGTTTTAAGGAAGCAGGTCAAGCACACTGTTAGGACCCATGACAGCAAGGCCCAGCACAGGGATGGAGGATGGTGTACGTCAATTCCGGGCTCGGGCACTTGTTACGTATGTGGTATTTTTCCTCTTTAGTGGAATGTTTATAATCAAGTTCACTTTGAGGGATAAGGCGTGGGGATGGAGGGAACACATTCACATAAATTAATCTTTTAAAAATATAAATCCAGGGCTCCTGGGTGGCTCAGTTGGTTGAGCGTCCAACTCTTGGTTTCCACTCAGCTCATGGTCTCAGGGTCTCGAGATCGAGCCCCTCATCAGACTCTGTGCTCAGTGTGGGGTCTGCTTGTCCCTCTCCCTCCCCTCTGCCCCTTCCCCCACTCTCTCTCTCTCAAATAAATAAATAAAATAAAACCTAAAAAATAAAATAAATAAAAATATAAATCCACGTATCTATCCTCTGCTGAAATCCATTCAGTGGCTTCCCTCTGTACTGAGAATAAAATCCAGCTCCTTTCAGTGACCGGTAAGGTCTTGGTGATTTGGCCCTTGCCCATCTTCCCAGCTTCACCTCAAACCATGCTCTCTCTCTTCACTCAGCTGTAGCTACACTGACCTGTGACTTCAAGGAGACATATCTGTCTCCAGAGGCTTCACACTTGCTGACTGTGGCCTGGTCACCTCCCCCTTAGGCTCCCTCTGGGTCTTGAAAGCTCCTTGTCTTCCTTTGGCTCTCAGCTCTGAGGTCACCTCTTCGAAGAGGACTTTTGCAGGCCATCCTATCAAATCCCTGCTTTTATTTCCTTCCGAATGCTTAGATTCTCAAAGTTCTTGGTCATTTATTAGTTTACATTTTCACTATTGGTCTCCCCGACAAAAAGGAAAGCTTCTTAAATTCCGGGAGCATATCTGCCTATTCTCCAGGGACCATATCTGCCTATTTCTCCACTGTGTCCTTTGAGCCTGGCACAGTGCTCAGCACAAACCACATGCTCAGGGAAACTTGCTAAATGAATACATGAATGAGTGAATGGGGGAAAACAGAGCTTGGCTGGTGCACTGTGGTTACCTGGAATTGTAACTATTATTATCATGTCGCATTTTATGATTGTACCTTTAGATCTTTCATAAGACGGAAAAAATTTATAATGTACAAAAACCTACAACATTGAAAAAGTGTATGTGTGAATATGAATGGCTATTATTTTCCTTGACACTATTTACAATGGAAAAGAAATGGATTTTTTACATAAGTGTCCGTGTACAATAGGAAGATAGGTTGGTAAATGTTCTGTATGGGACAAATATCCACTCGCGTACAACATCAGAGGGCCATTTTTCTAACCTGGAGAGGGTATTTGTAATTTTCCTTCAATTTGTATACACACAATAGATAGTTGTACATAAATAGACATTCAACAGTTCCAGCAAAATTCCTACTGCCAAAGAGAGAAAAAAAAAAAGTCAGAGTAAGCTGTAAAAAAAGTGCTTGGTTTTTTAAATGTAGAAATGGCAATTCGCAGCATTTATATAAATTGCCGTATACTGAGGGTTGCAACTCTGAGAATGAACAGTAAGAAAAGTTGCAGTGAAGAGCAAATCTGAGGACACTTGTTTTGAAAGTAAAGGCTTAGTCAGTATTATAACATTCTGGCAATCTGCATAACATTAACCACAGTGCTTTGTATTGGGATTGAGACTTTATGTATTGATTTTCTCGTATGGAAAACATTCTGACTAGACTTCTATTTAAAATGCTCAAAAAGAAACTTATCTTAGAAGAAATAAGGAAAATGCATTTTTTTAAAAAAAATCCCTCTTACATTTGGGCATATTAATCTAAATAATATCAATATGGCTATTTAACCCAATGGCTGGATGGATCTAGTAATTTGTAACTCTTTTTTGTTTGTTTGTTTGCTATTGGATCTAATATTTTGTACCTCATTTTTTGGTTGAAATTTCACACACATTCTGTGAATTCTGTAAATATACAGAAATGGGAGATGGTATCAGCAGAAAATAAAAATATTTTCCAAAGGAGTGAGATAAACTAGAAAGTGAGATCTCTAGTGAGATAGTACAGGAGAGCTGGAAATTTTAAGGTTAAATAATAAATAGTAAATTTCCCCACTATGTCATACCTTAGAAGTGGAACATAAAGTTGCATTAGACCAAGAGTGAAACGAAATTTCTCATGCATTTGTATTTTGTGGTCTCTTTTGTTTTCTACATCAATATATTCAGTGTATATTTTCCCTGATAGAAAATTCATTTAAAGAATTACTTTAGGGTTGTTGGAAGGGGAATGGATATTTGTGGATGAAAGAGGAAACAGTTTTCGTGGGTGAATGCAATGAAGTCCAGAGCCCAAAGCCACTCTGAGCCAAGAATAGTCAAATTTGGACTTGATAGGACATCCTGTCAAGTACTTACAGATTCAGCTCTGTCTCTCTGAGGTCACCTCCCTGAGCAATCTATAAAGGGAACTATATCTTTAATAACCTGAGACCAAAGAGAGTCAACTCTTGAGTATTTATCACAGAAAGGACTAGTGTTTAAGATATTCTAAAGCCTAAAATATTTTTAAGTGGTGTTTTCATTTCAAAAGAAATGCTGTGATTTTATTTGGGGGGGGGCAGGCTTACATCCTAATGCTGCTATAATGAGGCTCGAATTTCAGTCAGTTGGCTTCTCCTCAGCTAAAGGCCAACGGGATGGGGCATGGACAGGGGGCAGTTTAAGGAAGGATATGGAGAAATAGAATGTTGGCACAGGATTAAAAATGTGCTGTGATTAACCCATAAAACCAATATTCTACAGGTGGACAATATTTCACAGAAGGCCCCAGAGGATGCCACTCTGGACTTCAGGTATGAACAAATATTTCCATAACATATAGCCTTGTTTAAGATTTACTTTTTCTTTTTCAACAAAGAAGATAGTGCAGAAATGCTAAAGTGATCTTTTATGCTTTTAAATGACCATTGTAGGCTCTAATAAGATGGCCACACTCCATCCTGGTACTGCACAGTTGCACGTTACCTTGGATACAAGGCTGGCTCTGTATGCGGCTAGTTGCTTCAGGTACTCCTTCTTTGCAGCCTCGGTTTTCTTTTTATAGACCTGTAACAACAACCAAGAATCTTAAATTAGAAAGCGCATCTGCTTTTGTTTCCAGAGAAGTACAATGCAGAATGATAATTGCGTGCGTGCGCACGCGTGCACATACACATGCAATTATATCATATAATATATATCTCCCTAAAGATTGTGTTTTCTTAATGAAACAGATTTCTAAGAGGTATGGCAATAGACTAGATAAGAAGATTAACAATAGTAAAATTTTCCATTTACATTAAGCATATGAAAGGATTTATCTGGGTTACTTTGAGAGTGGTGGTAGTTGGCTTAGAAAGATACTATTGATGAAGGTTCCCAGGGAAACCACAAGCGGGTAAAGAAGCCATTCATATTTATATAATGGGCAGATAATTCTACAGGGCATTAAAATCTTGGTATACATGGTCCATGTTAAATATAAAAACAAGGACAGAATTCAAAGATGACCAATTACGTTCGAAAAGTAAATCAAAGGGAACAGTTACAAAGTTTGCAGGTTCATCACTATTTTAACCTTTTGAGCCTTGAAGTTCCATTTTCAAAGACTCAGGAAATGGCTATGGCAGTCAAAGACACATTTGGGGAGTGGAATGGGGATGCTGAGTGGCCGAGGACTGCAATGCACGCCATGCCGTGTAGCCTGCTCTGGTCATGCCCTTTCCAACGAAGACATTGGATGACATGGATCTGTGGACACCTCATTGTGAAGAGGTACAAATGTTCTGAAATGAATTTCATTTTACAGAAGCTTTTCATCTTTCAGAGGGAATCATCTTGAAAATAAAAGTAAAATCATCCTAAATGGAGCAAAAGTACTGAAAAATGACTTGCTGGTATGCTAAAGGTCACATCGCTAAGTTAAACAGAAAGGAGTCATTAGAGTCGAAAATGAAAGATTAGCAAAGTGAACACACATGGTTGTCGGCTGCCATTAAGTTGATTCTTTCAAGGCTTTCGAGTCTGTTTTTGGCAATCTTTTGAAATCATCCCTAAAGAATAAAATATTTTTCACCATTTACTGTGTAAATGGAAATGTATTTTCATCAATAGAACTATTTTTAAATTCCCCACATCTTGAATTTTATAGCAGGGAATGAGGCTTGGCTAATATTTTGTAATGCTGAGCTCAAAAACAGACACAGATCAGTATTGAAAAGTGGCTTTAGAATTAGTCAGAGTCGTTAAATATAAATTATGTCTAAAGACCAAATATCTGCCCAAGTCAGCAGCAGAGGTCAATTTATGGTTTCTAATGCCAAAGGTGGTTTGCTGAGCCCAGTCTCCAACTGCGAAATTCAAGATGTGAGAGATATTATTTACTCATGAATATATTAGTTAAAGCAGAACATTTCACTTAAGGTAAACAAATGACTAAACTTGTCAACAAAATTATAAAAGACCCTATAAAATGAATGTGTTAATTGTTTTCCTATTGGGAGGTCTTCAGCCTAGACTTCTACATTTTGGTAAAATAAAAGGCAATCACCATAAGACAATTAAGAATTCATGCAATATCATCATATAACCATTGTGTCATCTTTACTGAATATAAAACCAAAGAAACTTAAAACAAGTTTATTAGTAAAAAAGCCAATAAATTCCTTGGTTCGAGTACAAGAGTATTCTGAATTCACTGAGCTAATTATTGGAAGTCAAATTCAGATTCTTTTTTCGGAAATGCACACGTGAAAACAAACAAATGTCAGCCTACAACAAATGCCTTTGAATAGTATGGTCTGTGTGTATAGTAGATGCCTTGGTTCAGCCACAGTCAGAAACACAGAGCTCTCCCGCTTTTTATTGATTTATTTTTTTTTCTTGAGAGACAGATTGCTGTTTATAGTTTTCCCTTCAACCTCTTCTCCAAGACATGATTTATAAGTAATGATCTTAGGCTGACAATGTTTACATTTACTTTTAATACCTTAAAACTGTTTTTGAGAGGGTTTTCTCCCCACACAGAGAGAGATGCCATTCAGGACTTTGCAGCAAATACTTAGTAAATATATCTTCAATGGTAATATGCATTTGTATACTCAAAAAATTTCCAACATGTTTTTATTAATACGCTACTCCAAGTGACCCCCAGTCAGCTAAAGGGTTCATTTGACTTCCAAAGGCAAATATAGCAGTCTTTGGCCTATAGCGTTGACCAAAAGCATCGTTTTCTAAGTAGCCGTAGATAAGATGGTGTTGTTAGGTGGCCTGATTAGAGCATCTGCCATCTTTCTTGCCTTTGGTTTCCACTGAAACAGCAACAGTGTTACCGCAGTGCTGTGCCTTTGCGGGGCTCCCAGGAGTTAACATCACACAAAGTGTTAACTTTCCTGAAATTCGTTGATTAACAACCACTGGAGAAAGGTGGCCAACTCAATAGGTTTGGGGCTGGATATGTGCCCCCTGGTTTCACTCTGGGATCAATGTGGTTACAGGATACCTGACTAGCATTCAGAGTGCCCTGTTTTCTAGAAATGGCTCCCTATTGCCTATTGATGATTGACTATGTGGGATCATCACAAAAGTGCCTACATACCACTTTAGAAAAGAGTAAACTCATCATGTCATATTACGTGGATCGATGGGTCCGCTCTTTCCTGCATAGCTGCAGATGTTCAGAAGGAGGATTCAAAGGGTGGTCACTTCAGGAGGTATATTTCTGTAATTGTGGTTAAAGGGGAGTAGCCCAGAGCGAAATTAAAATCTGAGGTGGTTTCCCTGATGGTAATTTAGAACCTTCACCTTTGAGAACTACCTAATGGCTCCCATTATTATATACCCTGTATGTCTTTCTCATGCTACCTTCTAAGATTGCACATGGATGCTTTCTGAATTCTGTAGTTGATGCATATGTCTGAAGAGGGCAAGAACTCAAATGTTTGAGAGTGATAAAACCATGTAAGAATTCCACATTTAGGTGAAGTGGGAAACCCTGACTTTAGGACAGCTATTTAAAAACCATCAGTAAAGAGTTCCTCAAAAATGTTCCAAAGCCTCTATTCACGGATGGAGAAGGTCTCCTACTTGCAGAAACCAAAGATGACGGCGACAGTGTTTGGCTAGGAACAAGCTCTGCAATGATCAAACCCTCTAACCTAGGAGGATGGGTCTGATTTATGTCAAAGTTAAGTTTGGGAAAGAAACGGTCTCCCTCCCTCAGGGAAAGACAAATATTTTAAAGATATGTGGTTCATACAGTAAATATTAGTACTCGGCCAAGCTACAAAATGGCTTCCAAATGGTCTACAGCTGTTTGAAATAAAGTGCAAAGTTGGCCAGATGAGGATTTAAAAATCATAATACATCATTTATCATTTTCCCCAGCTCATCCAAACACTTTTGAATTCATCCTGTCCTAACTTAGTTATATGCTGTGGTTTGTTATTCTAAGAAAGCTACCATATCCTATCTAAGGACTGCATCTTAGTGGTTAAACTAAAACATATATAATGGCTAATCTAAAACATACGTAGATCGACATCAAATAGCAATTCTAGAGAATCCAAATCCTGTTCATATAATCTAGTGATTCACTGAATCATTTTGGAAATGCACTAAATACCAGTACAGACACATGTTTTTCTAGGCTGTTAATCCCTAATTAAAATCAGCAGTTCAATATCAATGAATATGATAAACTCAAATAGAAAAAAAGGCTAATATAATGTCATTTTCCTTTTCTACTTTCTGCTTCTTCCCCAAACAAACAATCCATCTAACTCATACAAAAAAGGAAAATCTTATAAATACCATTTAATTCCTTCTTCCTTCCTTCTTTTCTGCTCTGGCCCTTAGTTAATCTCTATAGTCGTAGTTTATTTCAACCAAGTCTTTGCAGTAATAATAAGAAAAAAAAATGTATAATTCTTCCAATTCTGTATTCTATTCAAACACTATAAAAAAAACCTAAAAGGCATTTTTCCTTTTGGTTGACTTCAAATGTAGGGTTTTTTTTTTTTTTTTTGTCCCCACTGCAAGTTCATATTTATAGAAAATGCTTAGAAGTACAGTTATGTATAAGAAATAATAATTTAATCACAATTCCCTGCTGTATCCTTTAGAAATTAACGTTTGCAGCTTCTTTCAATGCTGTTATTATTTAGGACAGCTAGAGCAAGTGCATCTGTATTTTATATAGAACTTAGTACTTAAATGTGGTTAAATTTCCATCATGTGTAACTTGCTCAGCGTTTTCTTAAGCATTCCGCAGCTCAAAGACATTTATAAAGTGGTATTCAGAGGACTGAAAATATTATACGATGTGACAAAAATCTTGCTATCAATTCTTTTGCTGACCATCTGATCCCTCTAAATGGTCGACGCAATAATGGTGCAACCTGCTTATGGAAGGGTAGGCAAGCTCTTTGTCTGAAAAAAAAAGGCTACAAAATATATGTGTTGATTTATTAAATGAGGGTGGCTGGAAGCATGATGTCATTCAATCACACTTAACAATATATTGAGTGCCCTCTCTGAGCCTGCTGTGATGGAGAAATTGAAGTTACAGAATCAGAAAAGGCATTAAAAACATGCCTCTGTTGCATGCATTTTGTGTGTGTGGCAGACTCTACCTCTATCTACAGTTTTTAATTCTTTCAATAAGAAGGTTGTAATGGTAGCAGTACTCTCATTTTACAGATAAGAAAACATGGACTAAAATGGATAGTTATTTTACCCAATATCCTGCAACACATAGAGCAACACCATGTGGTGAACCATCTGGTATCCTAGATACACCTTCGTTGACTCAATGGCTCCTCCTAGCTGCAGGAGAACTCCCCTTGATGAGTGTCTCCGACACCCACCAGCACTGTCTACAGATGAAGCCCAGCAAACAGGGCCATGCTTGGTACACAGTAGGTGCTCAGGAAATACGTGCAATTGAGTGTAGAGTCTCGAGGGCCAGATTTCTCCTTTTGTGAGTATAAGTATGGGCGCGCAGCGCGCATGATGTTCTCAATTGCGTCTTCTACGTTAAAATGCACACCAATGGAGATAGAGGATTG